AAAATATTTTGCAAAATATTTTCGTTTTTTTAACTAATGCACCAATAGTCCACTAATTTAGTAAAGTCTTCTTATTTATTTTTTTCATTTTTTACAAAAAACAATTCAGTTTTTACAAAAAAATATATTTATTTTTTCAGTTTTTTAAAAGCATTTTTTTGTAAAAACTCAAAAAAACAATTGTAAAAACAAAACAAAATGTTTTTAATAAAATATTTTCGTATTTTAAAATTTGAAAAAAAATATTTTCAACGGGATACTTTCATTTTTGAAAAATATTTTTTTTCATCTTTTTCAGTTTTTTTAAAGCATTTCGTTTTATTTTCGTTTTTCATTTTTTNAGGTTTATTTATGCTACAATCAGTCTTTTGATGATGCAGTTAACCTTCAAGTCAATGCACATTTGACAGCATATCTAACTCTAGTGACTCTGTCGCAACTAAAAAACATAGTAATTGAGTAAATCTCTCAACTCATCGTGTATTTTAGAATTTTGGTATTCACATAAGACCTTTTTAACAGGTATCCACATCAGTTTTAAACTCTCGGGCACAAAGTTGAAACCTTTGATGCTATTCATAACCACTTCAGTACAGCTATTGGCCAGACAGCTCATAGGACAATGCACCTGAAAACTTACCCAGGTTGTTAAGTAGTTAGGAGCCCTTTCTTCTTTTACAACTCATGGCCTCAAAGGAATATCGCTAGGATACACAGGAAAGAGGAGGTTGACTATGCCTTAAAGCTAATATTTGTCATTTGAAGTTAAACATGATATGAAACACATTATTGGAAGTAAATACTAACCAAAATATTAAAAAGCAAATTTAAGGTCATAGAGAAGTGTTCTCTGGCATTGTGGAACTAGTTTGGGCGTTCGTGATCATCTATGCTTCCCTAACCATTGCATAAACTAAGTCAAACGTTACACTTAGCTCGACTCAATTCACTATCTCAAAGTTCTTCCTTCACTGAAAGAAGCATTATTAGTCGATAGAGTGAGTGCTGCATTGGCCAGGGAGAAAAACTGGAGGACAGGAAGATGTTGATTCACCCTTCCAGCAAGTATTTTTGGGTACTTTGGCTAGAGAGAATCAAAGATGTATTTAGGACAATGTTGTGTCTGTAAATAGTCACAAATACTAATGTTTGTACTTCTGGATTTTTGGGGTAACATGCTAAATGTAGACGTTCCTCAGGTCCCTACATTTATATGTGACAACTGAGTTTTTGTATGCACCTTCAATGGAATAAAATTTCATACATATCCAAAAAAAAGGAAGCCGATCACGTGAGTGTGTTGGAAAAAAAAAAATCAAGTGAGCACTACGGATGAGGAACTAACTTAATGACAACTTCAGATGCCATAGATATCAAAGATTGAAAAGGAATAGAACTGAAATCCAGTTCAAACAAATTTTGGATGGAAAAATGTCACTGCGCAATCCAGTTCTAAGATGTACTAGAACAAAAAACGAAAACCTAGACCATCGAGGAACAGAATATGAATGAGAAAATATGTAATTCTTTAACTGATTAAATCGCTATTAATTCACTGAGATATGATTTGCGATTCACTACTAGCCAGGAGAGAAAAGTCATGGTGAGTTCCTTTCAACATATATGCCCAATGCTTTAAACCAACTAAGAAGATAAACAGAAATGGTAAATGGAAGCATAACTAAAAGAGAGAGAGAGAGCTGACTGCTAGAATGAAGAATTACCAGCAAGAGGATTGACCCCTGCCTGCTTATATAAACGCGAAGTCTCAAGTTGGATTCTTTCCTGAATTAAAAAAAAAATTATAGATGTAAGTTCTGTTTGCTGGACTTGATATGAAAAGGCACAACATTAATCATAATTCTACAGCAATAGCTTCACGACAACAGAAATACTCCTCCTTTTATTGAACGAATTTTTTATCACCACAAGCAATGCTTTTCTTTCTTTTGATAAGTAAAGCAATACTATAACCATACAAAATAAAAAATAAAATATAAAACTCTAAAAAAATAAACAAAAGCTTTGATCTTACCAAATTAAGATGAAATCTAGCAAACAAGTTGTAACAATCCAAAAAATCTAACAAACAAGCTGTAATTGTTACAGTGTCAATTGCTCATACTTCACTCTTTTTCACAGTACTAAGTACCAAAGAATCTTTAATACATAGCTCAAGTTTTAGAAGGTCAAACGGTTCTGAAGAGCAGTTTAGATGAAACAGAAAGTATCAATTGACAAGAATTTGAACTCACCTGATTTCCAGCATATCGTTGCTGAATAGCTTTGATCTTTGGTTGGAGATTTTGCATTGCTAGTGTTGATTCAACCTTTCAAAAGACATAATATCATACATCAGCAACAATTCCATTGCAATGCAGATTTAAAGAATGAGGAACAAAGGAGCAGGGACTCTTGTTGAGTTCGACAAAAGATTCAATTCTCAATTTCCCATCACCATTGCACTATTTATAATACTAGACAGACGTAACTAAGTGGCAAGCCCTGAAATACCAGACCAACTCTTAAATATCAAGGTCAAGCAGCAAGTCAGCACAGGCTTACCTGTTGCTTTGTCAAAGGGAAAGTGACAGCTTTAACCAGGACAGTAAGCAATATGATTGCAAATCCATAAGAATAAGGCACATGCACAGCTGCCAGTCCATCCTTCATTACCTGAAAAAAGCAAAGTGAATGATGTGAATATAGAGTACGTGACGACATCAAAATACCAGTTCGCAAGAAGACGATCTCTCTAAAACAAAAACCTAAAAACAGTCTATCTAAAACTGAAACAAAATAAGCTGCAGTATTTGGGTGGCAAATCCTCCAAACGTAGTGCATTTTTGGAGGATCCGACACGGGTGTAGCAGCATTTTGGAGAGTCCGCGCAACATAGGTGAAGACAACCAACCTGTTGTCCTATATAACATTTCTTTAGCTTCCTCTAATTTCCTATCTTTTTTGGGAGGAAGGGGCAGAAGCTAAAATCTGGTTGGTTAGGGGAAAATCTGGTTATCGACTTGTGTCAACAGGAAAAATGACAAGAGCTAATAGAGTCTTTCAATTGGTAGAAAAAAAAATCCAAAATTAAGTTTAGTTCCCTTCCAGTGTTATCAAAGGCTAAAAGCAAAATAAGTTAAAAGAAGACTTTAACTGCAAAGGACACAGTGGAATACTCGAGTGCAAGTTGGCCCGAACACCACCGTCATAAAAGAAAAGAAAAAAAAGGATTAATAACGATAAACACAAACAACAATTATGCGGATAAAGTAATTGATAATTATAATTAAGGTAAAACTAGGAAAAATGATGCCAATCTAACACTAGTAAGACCTAAACTATGAAAACTATATAAACATGAAATAGATACATAAGGCAGCAAGTGAAATCGTTATTATGAATATGCTGAACGCATTATAGAGTCCAGAAAAGGAAAATCAAAATAAAAATCGTAACAATGATCAGAATTAGCTCGAAACTATGTTAAGTAAAGCTGAAAACGGAATTTAACCTTCAAAACGACTTCCATAGCGTCAGAAATGAAAGCGAACCAACCACCGGCTTTCTGAGGAGTAGCAGCAGTGGCATCGGAGGCAACACCAGGATCAGCAGCCACAGCGGCATCAGCTAACGTATAGAGAAGTCCTTCGGCTCGGCTAATAACAGCGTTGAAATCAACCGAAGAGTGAAGAGATTGAATCGGAGGAAGCTCATGGAAGCTGAATTTTACTCTAGTTGAAATAAGCCTTCGCCGGTGGAAGACATGGCGAGAGAACGACGGCAAAGGAGTTCCGATGAACGACGGAGATGAAATTAGGGTTTTCGCCATGGAAAATGCTCCCGAGGTGAAGGAGAAAATAGAGCTCAATTCAGATTGTGGAGGATGAGGGACAGCTATTAGAGAGTGGAGGAGGGAGAGCCAAAGAGAAAATATCCCTATCCTTTATTTTCCTTTTTGGGAATAAAAATATTGGAATTTGATTAACTGATGTTTGGCGCTTCGGTTATTTTGTTTGGTATGTCGTTTTTTGTTAGGTTTTTCGTTTGGTATTTGTATTAGCATTTAATTAGTTTCGATTCGTACGGTAATATTTGAATTTTGAGAGTCAAATAAAGTTATTTTTTATCATAATTTTTTCTAAATATAGAAATTTTATTTTAAAAAATTTAAAGAATTTATGAATAAGTTCAAAGTCAAAATGAACTTAGACTAATAGCCTGTTTGGCAAAAAGTGTTTTTTTTCAAATTTGAAGTGTTTGGCCAAGCTTTTAGGAGGAAAAAAAAGTGTTTTTGAGGAAAAGCAGGAAAAAATAGCTTTTTTGCTGAATCACTTTTTAAAGAAGCACTTTTGAGAAAAATAGAAAAATACACTTAGAAGCACTTTTTAAAAGTTTGATCAAACACTAATTGTTGCTTAGAAGTGCTTTTAAATTAATTAGTCAAACAAAAACTGCTTCTCACCAAAAGTACTTTTGAAAAAAAAATACTTTTCAAAATAAACTGATTTTTCTAGCTTGACCAAACGGACTATAAGTATTTAGTAGACTGTCACATTAATCGGGACAAACGGAGTATTATAAAAAAAAAATATTTTTAGAACTCAAATCTGATACACCTAGTTAAAGGTGAAGATATCTCAATTTTCAATGGTATACGTTGCTGTGGTTGCCGGTTGGTCCACGATTACTATTATTTCTTATATAACTAAATACTTATAAAATTCAAGAAAAAAAATACTTTTAGCACATATTAGAACTATTTTTGGGAGTGAAAATGTTGGAATTTGATTAACGTATGTTTAGTAGTTCGTTAATTTTTTTATTTTTATTTTTTGTTTGGCATGGTCGTCGCTGTGGTTGGTCCACGATTACAATTTAATTATCATCCAATCAAGAGTTTGATGGTCTTCAGTTGGGTGGCGATGGGTCCGGGGCGGCTGAATTAGTAAACGAGAAGGTAACTCTAATACGGAATTGAGGCAGAAAGCGATTAGTCTTAATTTTCTTTTACCTAGAAAAAGTATAGCAACAGGTTTTAAATGGTTGAAAAAATTATGACACGTGGAAAAAAAAAATATGACGATGCCTCTTCACCTCCATGCACATTATTAAACAGAATCGTTTATTCTAACAATTATCCATGCACCAAGTAGCCTGGAAAAATATTTAAAAACACTACCATATCATTTACATTCTGTCGTAAATATAACTAGTCGAGACTTAGGATGCTTCAATACAAAATATTTTTTTTGTTAGTAATAGTAATAATAATAATAATAATAATAATAATAATAATAATAATAATAATAATAACAACGGAAAAGGGTTCAAAATGCCCCTAAACTATTGGAAAAGGTTTAAAAATACCCTTCATCCACCTATTGGGCAAAAAATACCCCTTCCATCCACTTTTTTGGTTCACTTATGCCCTTTGACCGTTAGGTCAATGCTAAATTAAAAATAATTATTATTCTTTTGATAAAACCTAAAAAAAATTGCAAAATATTTTTATTTTTTTAAACTAATGCACCAATAGTCCACTAATTTAGTAAAGTCTTCTTATTTATTTTTTTCATTTTTTACAAAAAACAAT